TTTTATTTGTGATCATGAACGTCGATCAAGGGGGGTCATCTGTCCGACTTCCTGTACAAGTATATACAGGAATTCGCGCTATATGCACATTCATGTGCATGTGGCTTTTCAAGATTGGTAGAGCGCATGCTTTCCGACAATAGGATCCCGAGTTCGAACCTTTCCCACTGCCTTTTTGACCTTCATCAAAGCAATTTATCCACAATTATTGATGCCTTATACTCGGGTGTATAAATGAATACCCTGTAGGAGGTAAGACCCCTCATGTACAAGATCTTCTCAATGCCCATGTGCCGCTTAGGAGGATTGCTCCCCAGGGAGTTGAGATGGTGCACACAATGTGCGCTGGCTTGCATTGTTTCCTATGACCGGGTTAATAATATCATTGTAAAGCGCTAATCATCCAAAATTGGCGCTATATAACTCGAAATATAACTTTTAATCATAACTTATTATAGTTATTATAGTTAACTGATATTGGCTTTAGTAATTATTACAATGCCTACGTTATTTAAGCACTTTGCAACTCCGAAACAAGAGGACACTGTAGTAATCACGATTAGACAGGGCTATGGGGACATTATTTGTATATATATGATTAGTATTTTATTTGTGATCATGAACGTCGATCAAGGGGGTCATCTGTCCGACCGTCCTGTACAAGAGTATATACAGGAATTCGCGCTATATGCACATTCATGTGCATGTGGCTTTTCAAGATTGGTAGAGCGCATGCTTTCCGATAATAGGATCCCGAGTTCGAACCTTTCCCACTGCCTTTTTGACCTTCATCAAAGCAATTTATCCACAATTATAGATGCTTTATACTCGGGTGTATAAATGAATACCCTGTAGGAGGTAAGACCCCTCATGTACAAGATCTTCTCAATGCCCATGAGCCGCTTAGGAGGATTGCTCCCCAGGGAGTTGAGATGGTGCACACAATGTGCGCTGGCTTGCATTGTTTCCTATGACCGGGCTAATAATATCATTGTAAAGCGCTCATCATTCAAAATTGGCGCTATATAACTCGAAATATAACTTTTAATTATAACTTATTATAGTTATTATAGTTAACTAATACTGGCTTTAGTAATTATTACAATGCCTACGTTATTTAAGTACTTTGCAACTCCGAAACAAGAGGACACTGTAGTAACCACTATTAGACAGGGCTATGGGGACATTATTATATATATGATTAGTATTTTATTTGTGATCATGAACGTCGATCAAGTTGGTCATCTGACCGACTTCCTTTACAAGTATATTCAGGAATTCACGCTACATGCACATTTATGTGCATGTGGCTTGTCAAGATTGGTAGAGCGCATGCTTTCCGATAATAGGAGCCCGAGTTCGAACCCTTCCCACTGCCTTTTTTTTCCTTCAGCAAAACAACTTTTCCACAATAATATTATTGATGCTCTATACTCAGGTGTATAAATGAGGACCCGGTAGGAGATGGAAGTCCTCATGTAAAAGATCTTCTCAATGCCCATGAGCCGCTAAGGAGGATTGTTCCCCAGGGAGTTGTGATGGTACACACAATGTGTGCTGGTTTGCATTGTTTCCTATGACCGGGCTAATGATATCATTGTAAAGCGCTTATCATCCATATTAGGCGCTAGATAAATCGAAACATTACTTTTAATCATAACCTTATATAGTTATTATAGTTTTTAATATAACGGGGGGCGGGGGGGAGGGGGGAGTTAGTCATTCAAAACTATTTCTCTAGATCATGTAGATGATCTTTATCCATGCTGCTTTGATAAACTTTGCGTATTCGTATAAAGCATGAAATTAAAACATATTTATACAAATATGAAATAGTGATCTTTGGGGGTTTCCAGATTACATGGCGTATGGTGGCTACTCATAACACAAATCCGTTATTACTCCAGATTATTGCCGAAATATCTAGTAGGATCTACGTGGCGACCTTTTCAGTTCAGATATTTTATCACCCCCCCCCCCCCCCCCCATTGTTATGCCTTCCCATTTTCTCACCTCCCAGCAGAAGTACCATTCTCTGTTCATATCTGATTAAATTCCTAAAAACCAAGGAGGAAATATAAAATGTTTTAAATCCCTTATCTAGACCTTCCCCCACCTCCTTGGTTACCCCTTGCCATCCATAAAACATTGTTATGCCCTCCCCTTTCCCCCCTTCCGATCCTAGTCCCATTCTCTGTTAATTTTTTTTTTTTTTTTAAACCAAGGAGGTAATACATACTGCTTTGCCATACATGACACATTGTAATGCCCTCCCCCTTCTCCCCTCCCGACACTAGTCCCATTCTCTGTTCGTATCTAATTAAAACCCTGCAACCAAGGAGGTAACATTTACACTTTATATCCCCTTATCCTGCCATCCATAACACATTGTTATCCCCTCTAATAAAACCCTACAACCAAGGAGGTAACATTTTGGGGGAAATCTGACACTTTACTGGCATCCCTTTAGCTTATTAATCCACAATTCTAAACGTAAATAATATGTTGACATTGGTATCATTAAACCCAAAACCAAGGAGGCAACATTGACACTTTATATCCCATTATCCAGACATATCCCCCAGCTTGGTTTCTCTTTGTCATCCATAAAACATTGCTATGCCCTCCCCCTTCTCCCCTTCCGACACTAGTCCCATTCTCTGTTCATATCTAATTAAAACCCTGGAACCAAATAAGGTAACATTTACACGTTATATCCCCTTATCCAGACCTATCCCCCTGGCAACCCCTAGCCATCCATAACAAATTGTTATGCCTTCCTCTTTTCTCCCCTCCCGGGGAGGGGAGGGGGGGGGGGGGTCATTCATAACTCTTTTATCTAGATCATGTAGATATTCTTTATCCATGCTGCATGTAACTGAATACAAATCATCGAATGTTTTGAAGGCACGGATCATTTAAAACCTGTGCGTAGGCGTATAAAGAACGACATTAAAACATAACTTACGTATACACTTATGAAATATTGCTCTTTTGGGGGTTTCTAGTTTAAAGAGCGTATGGTGGCTATGCCCCACTGTCTACTTATACCGCATATCAATTACTTCAGATTACTGCCAAAATATAGGATCTACGTGGCGACCTTCCCAGCAAGGCGATGTTAGGAACATTTCTGAGCTCAAATTTCCCCGCTGGAATCCCATTGAGATTGCATTGTGGTTATTCCTTAATAACTGATACCATTCAGGGTTTCGTCGGTGTTCTTGCAACGTGCATTCTATAATCTGAACATTTCTGAGGGGGGGGGGGGTAGTGAGCACTGCTTTTTTGTTTTGGTCCTTGAAAATTTGAGCGCCAGGGAGGGGGGGGGGCATTTCCAAAGAAACGTATTTTTACACGTTTTTTTCCCAGGCCCCCCCCCCCTCCCCTGGATCCGCCACTGGGGTATGCGCACGGTAGCTGTATATAATTATAGGTTTTCCCATCCATTTTTCAAAAGATCGTCATTCAATTTCATTAGTGCACCCACTTTTTCAAGCACTCGAAAAGTTCCCCTTTGTACATAGGAAAAGTGCCCCTTTAACTTTGTAAAAATAGCCCTTTTTTTACATAGGAATAGTGCCCCTCTTACCTGACAAGTGTCCCTATTAATTAGTCAAATTGACCCTTCCCCTTTTCATCTGTGATAAGTGCCCCTTTTATTTTCACACGTGCCCCCTTTTCCTTCGACAAGTTCCCATTTTCCTTTGCAAAAAGTGTCAATTTTCCATTCTAATAAGTGCCCTTCTTAATCTCTATAGTAAGTGCTTCTTTTCAGGTACGAGAAGTGCCCTTTTTCACTTTTGATAAGTGCCCCCTTCATCTTGGATAATTGCCCTATTCAAATCTGAGAGGTGCCTCTGTTACTGTGACAAGTGCCCCTTTTCCTTTGTAAGAGTTTCCCCCTTTAAATAGCTCCCCCCATTTTAACTCGGATAAAGCAAATATTTTCACATGTTCCCCTTTACCTTTCTAATAAGCGCCCCCATTAAAAAGAGCCCCTTTACCTTATCATAAATGCCCCTTTTCATCTCTGGTAAATGACCTTTTTCAGGTACGAGGAGTTACTCCTTTCAACTTCAGATAAGTGCCCGCTTCACTTCCGATAAATGCCCCTTTAAAATCTGATCGGTGCCCATTTTCTTTCAACAAAATAATGCACATTTTCCTTTATTATAAGTGCCCCTTTTTTATTCACATAAGTGCCCCTTTTTATATCTGGTCTTTGCCCATTTTCAGGTGCGATAAGTGCCTCTTTTCACCTTTGATAATTTCCTTTTTACCAATGATACGTGCCCCTTTTCCTTTCTAATAAGGGACCTATCCCCTTTTCATAAATGCCCTTTTCACCTTAAATGCCCCTATCAAAATCTGATGGGGGCCCTTTTTCCGTCGACAAATGCCAATTTTCCTATTCTCATGAATGACTTTTTTCATCCCTGGTGAGTGCCTCCTATTGAAGTTGTAAGAAATGCCCTATTTTCACCTCTGATAATTATTTTGTTGTACTGACACATGCTCTTTTTCTAGAAAGTGCCCTTTTTTCTTGGTGCCCCCCCCCCCCCCCCCACTTTGGAAGTCGCTCGGCCGTCCCTGCCCTTCGACCATAATAGCTTGGGCTTGATAGGGTATATTTATATACACCGGTTATGGGGACATATATATATACCGGGCTATGGGGACATTGATATATACCGGGCTATGGGGACATTGATATATACCGGGCTATGGGGATATATACCGGGCTACGGGGACAAATGTCCGCGCACCACGGTCTGGTACAGACAGACTAATTTTGTTTTTATTTGAATGTATTTCGTATTTCAAATGATATATAATGATATATAGTTTCGCCTCGAATAGCTTTACATATCCTACGTTGAGATTGCTTTAATAACCCACGGCAAGTCCAAGTCCCCGTAACGCGGTCTCATACACAAGTCCCCATAGAACTAGTTTTATATGTATATATATATATATATAATACATATTCGACATACGAAACTGTAACAGATCCACTATTGTCCGTAGCCCTTGGTGTACTCCAAGACACTGCCTTAGACGCTGTTGTTGTGTACTGATTTCCAAGATTCCCAGGGCAGTAGGTGAAACTTGGTCTCGTGGTATCTGTTTCAGGAAAAATTATTAATAACAAAAATGTTTCATTGTTTCTACTTAACCAAGAGCCAAAGGGGATCGATGAACAAGTTCCCACAAGGTTTCACCCATGCAGTCACCTTTCTCGGCAATAGGGTCCATTCTATGGGTGTCTAGAAGGGATGGTTTGCCGTTTGGTCTACCACCAGTTCGTCTTCTACCCAATAAGTCTATTCCCATTCGGTCTATACACCAAGCCCGTCTATTATCCACATGGTCTCATAGTCATTACGTCAATCACTCATTTGGTCAAAGTGAAAATCGGGCTTATTCCCAGTTTATCTAATGGCCATTGTGTCTACCCATTATGGTCTAATAATCATTTAATCATGAACAATAATAATCATCAAACAATTATTAGACCTTATGGATGATGGCGATCTCCTGCGTTTTCTGTAATTAATTTTTGTTCATTGAAAAATATTTATAAAATTTATAATAATGTATAATGAAGAAATAATTGTTACTTTATGTATATGATTAAGTTCTATATTGATAACGCAGAGAAAAAACAACAACAAACAAACAAATAAACGAAATGATTTTTTGATCATGTCGATAGTGGACTGGATTGGGGTATATGAGAACAGACCAATTGGATAGTAGAAGAACTAGTTGTAGACCAAATGCTTTAAACCCTAGCAGGCACCATGCAAAATGCCTGGCAGTGGTCAGTCATGATATAAGAGGTTATGCCTGAACATTTCGATCAGGTTTCATCAATTTTTTCGAAGTACATCATTGAAATGGCAGTAGCCTTATTTACACCTTATTCAATTCAATTCATTGAATATTTATTCCCGTCTTAAAAACATATTGAGAGTATCATGCATATATTTCAGATTTTGGAAATAGGCGGAATATCCTAAAGCACTAGTCTTGTTGTGGGATCACCATAACAAAACCTGCCTGCTGACAATATTAAACATTAACAAAATTTAACAATATTAGTTGAAATGGTCTTTAAATTTTGTCTTTATAATATTTAGATCACTAGGCATCAAAACAAAGATCTGGGAGGCGTTTCATGAAACAATTAGTCAGTGGTTTTCACCAACTAATATCATGTTCACCGACAATTTAGTCAGCGCTGACTAAATTTGACCAATCACAGGCCTGGAAAATAGTCGGGGACAAAATAATTGTCGGTGAATATGATATTAGTCGGTGAAAACCACCGACTAATTGTTTCATGAAACGCCCCCCAGAGCTCCAATATGATGGAGCCATTGGGTCAACAACAAAAAATGACGTTATTAAAATTTAGTGAGAACACATCTATTCTTAGAAAGTAAAATTTACCTGGAGGTGGTGGTGGTGGTGGACTACGCCGTCGTCGCCGCCGGCGATCCCAAAACGCTTTTGATTAAATTCATTGAATGGTTTATTTAAGTAAAAAAAGATCAATTTAAAAATAAACATTCGCATTAGCATTCAAAAAACCGAATTGCTGAGAATGATAAAGCATATCAAAAGATTACATTTCAAAAGCATTACAATTGAAAATGAAATATTATTGGGTATGTAAACAACAAAAATATTAGCTTTTAATAAATGTCTACAGTTAATAATCAGATCTATGACATTTGTATAAAAAGGAGCAAATAAGAAATCCTTTCGGATTTGATCTTGGATATATACAAATGTGATAAACAGATGAATCAAGGTATATAATCAATAAAACGTAAATATTTGCATAGTTAGAAAAAGTTTATTGGAGATTTATAAAGAATCTAGTTAATGTATAATCTTGAGTTCTGATATGGGAATCGTGTTTTGAGAGAAAATTGCTATGATTTATTATGGATTGTTTATCCTGCAGTAGATTGGTTGTTGAAACGGTGAAATAAAAACATCGCACAAAAAATAATAATTATATTAATACTGTGTATAATAAATGGTTAGGAGAAAATAACAAAATTATTGGGGAAAAATTGTCCTCCTTGTTTTTGCAGTGTTGGTGGAATGTTCCTTTCTAAATTTATTCTTTTGAGCGACCAGCAATTTTCTTTTTAATAGTGGAGCCTTATAAGTATAATGGAAAATTCAATGTTACAAAGGTTTGGAAATAAAATTTGTGGAATTGAAAACAATATAATGTAATGTAATATATATACATAAATAGAGAAAGGAAAATGATGGAAAAAGGTGGAATTTGGAAATAAAAAGAATGTCGTTCTAATGAGCTGTCAGTCTCGTGGGCTTTACGAAAAGTGAGCAAACATGGAACGGGACCTTCATTTTTTTGTGAGTAGACCGTCACAATCTCATGAACTGTCAACATTTTGAGAGAAAAGACAAGCGAGAACAAAATTATTGGTTTCGCCTGCTCCCGGTTGCGATTTTCAATTCCGTAGTAATGTTTCAGTTTAATGGCCAGTTTGGTAAAGGCCTTCCCATAATCTCAGCGCCTTCTTACGTATCTGCTTAAACGGGTTTTTTCGGTCCCTTTTGTTTACTGCAAGTACTGCAAGGATTCTCAAATGCCCATTTATAATTATACATCTTTTTTCCAAACAAAGTCGTTGTCAAGTTTAAATCCGACAGAGCGCCTTGGATCTCGCAAATCATAATCATGATTTTGGATAATAAAACAAGTGAGAGATAGAGGATTTAGATGGGAAGGATAAAGTGTAAGACAATAACTCACCTGTATTCTCAGTGAAAAATGACATGAAGACAATCCAAAGGAGGAGGATTTTGATGAATTTTCTGCAGTCCGCCATTCCGAATCTGTCGATTGTTTATAGCAGAATTTGACAATTTGTTTAATGGAAATGCCTGAGGTCATAATGATGAATTAAAAAAATAATAATAATATTAAAAAAGTGTAAAAACCCAAAGAAGAGCTGTACTTACCTTTTTCCGTTTTATTTAAATGTTAAACAATTCATTACTTTTCCATCAACTACATTGAATAATCACTACAAGTATTAGGCCAACACAAAAATGAATACGTTTACATCCTTGTATTCAGTTTCTCACTTGTTTAAAGGGAATTCCTACCTTACAGGTGCTATGTCCCATTTGCAGGCCAAAAAAATGAAAAGGTTAAATTCCAACGGCATTTGAAAGATAATACCAATTTAGAACTATCCTAAAAAAAAGGGGGCTTGAAAATGACTTTGAGTGGGAAAATAACGACTATTAGTTGTCGATTCGACTTAAGAGCTATAGAGACAGTAAGTAATAGTCTGGTTTTCAGACCATTGTACCAAATAGTCGATCGTTTTATGCTGCGCAAAGATTCAATCAGTTTAATTTTGGCCATTATACAAGAAGTGGGTTATTGATGTAGACAAATGCTCATGTACCCTTTACAGCTCATTTTATGGTATTATTACCAAAGAAGAAGAAAGCCAAACAGTCACTCAATAGTATAGTATTAATGACTGCTTTGAGAGAAATAGTTGTTTTTATACGCTCAAGGGAAGGTTAGAATTGTGCTATTACCCGAGGCGTGCCGAGGGGAATAGCCCAATTTGTAACCTTCCCGAGAGCGTATAAAAACAACTATTTCTCGAATATTAAAGCAGTCATTAATACTTTTATATGCCGAAAAAAAAAAAAAAAAAAAAAAAAAACTTTTGTCGAAGATGGGATACGAGCTCTTGCGTACCAAAGATGATGCTACTAAAGTCAGCGCCTCAAACCGCTCGGCCAGCGCGCTATGTCACCATGTACAGTAGTTTTCTTTAATATATACATTAAAATGAATTGAAAACGGCTTCGCGTGGTCGATGCTTCGCCGCTGCTCCTTTAAACGGGCCCTTCTTTTACTTTTGCAATGCATATTGGCACGAACTTAGATCAAGATCTATCGACAGATGTTGTTTTTTGTTTTTGGAAGTTTATTTTCGTCTTCATGTCAACAATGCAAGATAAAATTGTCGGTAAGATCGATCGAGATTCAATTGTATTGAAATTACCGACCAATTCTTCGCACACGTACGGTATCCTCGATCACTCAGACCATTTTTTAACATGTAAACCTATGGGGTAACCATGGAGACTGACCTATTTTCCCAATAACCATGGTTATTGGGATTTTGAACTGTTTTTTAACCATGGTTACCGGGAATTTTCGGGAACAGTTAAAGTTTATGAATGCAATTTCGACCAATCAGATTGCTGGATTACTTAAGTGAGGTATATAATGTCTGACAGTGAAGTCTAACAAGTAAACGGGTTTCCTTGCATAATTTGGATATAGAGTGGTAAAGTATGACGTCATCAAAAATTAATTTTAACAAATGGTGAATTTCTCAATTTTGTTCTTCATTTCCGTGTTCATAACATTACAAGCCAGAGCAATATAACACTGAGTTCCTACAGGACATCTATTTATTCAGATGGTCATATCTCAGCCAATACTTAACATATTTCTTTCATTTCAAAACTTTTACACTATGAATAAAGTTATTCACTCTTACCCTATACCAGTAATTCCTCAAATTTTCATCTAGTAAACCCGAAATTACTTACATTGCCCATAGATCCATAAAACACCATGGTCCTGACCTATGGAACTCTCTCCCAGAATCTTTTAAATTATGTTGCTCCATCCACTCATTTAAGGCCAAAGTTAAAACGATGTTATTATCACAATACTCAAGGTAGAATTGTTGTGTCAACTCTTTATTCTTTATCATGTCATCTCTTATTTCATTCGAATTATTTCACCATCGTCATCATCATATTCATCATCATATCATCATCATCATCATCATCCTCATCTGCATCACCATCATCGAAATTTGTATTTTCAATGAACTATCCGTTTCTGCTTAATAATTGTGTTCATAAATTTCATGAGTTTTTGTCTGGGACTGGCGTATTATCAAGCAATCTGCTTACAATGACAGTGCTTCTTCCGCAAATAATGTTATAATGTGTTATAATGTTTGAGAAAATTTAGTATTTGTAACAGTTTGTCATTTCATTTTTGAAAATAACAGTGTATATATATATATAAATATGTATTTGCTCATTTATGATTCATTGTCAGTAAAATACTTATTGTACTTAATTTTTTTTTTTATCGAAAAATGAAAATTAATGCAGAAGAAAATAGAATGAAATCAAATCAAATATTCAATTGGTTTTCGACATTTGGACAGAAAAATATAGCACATCGACACGGTTTTTTATCCTGGGTCCTCACAGTTACGAGGCAATTGCTTTGCCAATGAACCATGACTGTACGCAGCGGGGGCTAGGGTAGGGGGCAGTTCCCACAAATATATATATTTTTTTTAATGCAATAAATTATCAATAATTCATTGCATTTTACCACGGTCCCCAACATAAAAAAAAAATCTTCTGTGTGCCCATGCCTTGAGCCATAATACATGGCCGTACAGAGGATTGTTGTATGTAACTGTGAGGCCCCATGATCAAAACCGTGTCGATGTGCTATATTAGTGCCCTTTTGATGGGCATTAATCCTCATTACTGTCATTTATGACTTAAGGGCGTAGGTCCCCTAGTTGATAAACATAGTAGCATACACATGCGTTAGCAGTCACACAAAACAAACACTGGCAAATTATTATTCAATAAGATCTGAGAACTTATACTATTATCTAGATCTATTAGGAATAAATAATTGTTTTAATAATTCCATAAAATGGGGTAAAAAAAAATATGCCAACTTTATGAGCAACAGTGTATTTCAAATAGCGCCTAAGGCTAATCCATGGTAGCTGCGACCATGAAAATTTCAGAATATGCAGTTCTGGGCCCCGTCTTACAAAGAGTTGATATTGATCCGAATCAATATCAAGTCCCTAAATCAATCCCAAGTTTGCAGTCTCCCATCTCTTATGTTCATAGTTGTGATTGATATCAACCTCAAATATGTTGCGGTTGATATCAACTCTTTGTAATACAGGGCTCTGATATATAATTCCAAACGGGAACAGCACTTTGGTCGATTGTAGTCAAGAAACATTGTTTTAAAGCTAAAGTAATATCAGTCTTGATAGGAAGCTATACAACATACAGAGTTTATTAATTACAATTTTATCACTTAAGACTCGATTTCAACCGCGATAACGATCATTGAATATTGTAAAACCGCATATACTTTCAATATGTTAATTTGAACCAAATTCATGACCCTATACCAAAACTTTATTATGCATGTATATGACAACGGTACAGCAAGATTTAACAGTTGACTAAAACACCATACATCTTAAAATCAACTCACATTATTTCTTCAAGGTGCACAGCCACAATGTCTAAAACAGATCGCCTTTTCTATCCCAGTATAAACTGTCTGCAAAACAGTAGCTCCCAGGTCTCAGAAAGCCGCATTCATGGCAAGTGGTTTCAAATATAAGAGCGCACTCGCCCGGTGAAATATTTATTGAAAATCAAAGAATAGGGAGGGGTACTCAAATACATCGCTATGATTCCCCATTTCGTTTGAACTGTTCAGTTTCTATCTTCATTGACTAGCCTGTATATTTCTCACCTACAAGACGAGCAATGTTAACGATTACTCATGTCATAATGTATAAAAATAAAAAATAAAACAAATTTTATTTTATTTTATCTAACACAGCGGATGTATTCAGCAATAACGGGCGGCAGGGGAAAGGGATAAGCTAGGGGAATCTCGGAGATTTTGAAAATGAAAACAAAACAAAAACATTACAAATAATGAGTAAAGGCTGCAACCATTGGTTCGGAATTGTTCTAAAACAGATAAATTTCACCTCTGAAGATTTTTCCTCTCTGAAGAAGTTCATCAAAATCAAAGACTTGATGTCCAAGACTGACCTTCTTATCCAGAACTGTTCATAATATTGTTCCCTTGTGGTTTTCTTCGAGGTTTATTTAAGGGGAATAATTGGATGTCTGACATTCATTCAATCTCTACCAAGTACGATAAATGCTTGTAACTATAAACACAGACTAGGAGAACAGAGGATGTTGGAAAGCGTACAAAGACGTGCAACAAAGATTATTCCTGGCCGTAGAAATTTATCTTACCAGGAGCGCTTGTTACCTACTCTTGTTCACAGGCGTAGAGGGGGGACATGATCGATCTGTACAAGTACTTGAATGGCTTGTACATTGTGCAAGAGATTCCCTTTAATATGAGTACCGAAGATAGAACTCGAGGTCACTCTAGAAAACTGGAAAAGAAAAATTCAAGACTAGATATAAGAAAATACTTTTTTAGCAATAGAGTTGTGGAGCTGTGAAACGGTCTCCCAGAAAACGTTGTGACAGCTGGCCATGGGTCGGTCAACTCATTTAAGAATAGACTTGATAGCATTGGGTAAAAGAATGCAAGCCTTCTGTATGAGCTTGTCTAGGTGTTGTCTGTTGTCTCATGTTATTACACAACCTCCTCCCTCCACAAATAGCAGTAACCATGGCAGTGGCGGATCCAGGGGGGGGGGGGGGCGGGCCCCCCGGCCCCCCCCCCCCCTGGGGAAAAAATGTGTATTTTTACATTTTTTTAACGTTAATTTTACCTTTTTTTAGAGATGAGCCCCCCCCCCCCGTCCCCCTGGCGCTCATGGTGGGGGGGGGGGGTGCAATTTTTATAATTTTCGAGGGCCAAAAAAAAATTAGTGCTCACTACCCCCTCCCCCCCCCCCCCCCCCCCCCCCCCCCCCCCCCCCCACCCACTGAGCGAAATATTGGCCGGCACGATTTTCATATTTCAGCACAATATTTCAAATTGATTTCAAATTTCGGGCCCCCAC